AGATTTCTAATTTTGTTATAATTTATTTTAATTTTGCAACAAGTACAATCACTTTGCTCTTGTCAAGTACACTCGTCATCTCTTAAAAGTAATTAAGCACATAGGTGCACATGCTCAAAACTACATAAAACATTAAATGGGTTAACTAAGAACATCTTTGTAGGTATACTTACTGTGATTACGATTTCTCAATCAAATCGGAACAAACAATTTTTAATGAACCTCTTGCATAAAATCTAGTCGGTCAATCTAAATGCAAATAGTAGTTACGAAATTCACTAGTTATGACATAGCGGAATGAGGATGCGATCATCTACTGTTCGGAATATAACTAGGTCTCACGTTCAAAGACCTCGATGTTGTGCCATTCAAAATTACTCTAACTTAAATGAACAGAAAGATCAACTACAGTTTAAATCTTTTAAATATCTATGATTTAAGACCATATATTTTTTTTTATAAATATTTAGACTTTCGGTTAAAATTCTTGAAAAAATTTGTTATATCGCTCAGCTATTAAACAGATTACTAAAATTTTAAAGTAAACAGAAATAAAATGTTATTACAAAATATATTTAATAAATAAGAATTTTTATAATAATGGCATATATGTATGTACTTCATTCAGACTAACAAAGTTTTTTATATAATCTCATTAGTATAAAAACATGAAACAAAAAATTTTATAGAACTTATTACAAAAATAGAAGTATTTAAATTTAAGATATGAAATCTTCAAGAATATTCGTTTAATTTTAATAAAATTAATCATCATTTATAAATACCTGCAATCTAGTAGGTACGTGTAATATATACTAATCAACAGTTAGTAAGAAAATTAATTTGGAACAGTTAGTATGTTTACAACACACAAAAAGTTTCCATGACCATCGATCAAACTAATCGATCAGCCGATTGGTGTCAAATTATTATAATACTTAAAGACAAGATTCTCTTCACTGCAACGTAAAACAATTATCTAATAATTGATATTATTTACAATAAATCTCAGAAGAACACCGGATGTTACCAAAATAGCTTTCTCATGCATACGAACCAACCAATGACCTCAAAACAAGTTTGATAACGACATTTCCTCAAGTGAATGACAATGTTCGATTAACGCCAGCCATTCGTTTATATTTGAGCACAATTATAACCAGGGTTATCGATACAATTATTTCAAAATTTGTATTCGATACGACAAATTTAGATCGAGCTCCAAGTCTTGAAAGGGTTTAAAGTATTAACTTTAAAAATTGCTCATATATAGGTACATTTTTGTTAAATATACATACTTATAAAATAAATTTAATTAAGTTATAATGTAAGTTCATTGTTTCAATAGTACAAGTTATAATTTTACGACAATGAAAAGTTATAAAATTATCCTCAAATGTAAAAAATAAATCTATATGAAGCAATCTATTTTTTAAAATTTACATTCATGCGAAAGTATATCAAATTTACACCATTAATTAAATTACGCAAAATTACAAGTTTCGAATGCATGGAAAACGTACATTCCTCAGAATTTTGACAACTATAAATTTCTACGAACATTTAACTTATTTTTGTTCTATATTTATTCAAGGCAAACAAAATGTTTGAACATTAAATAAAACATTCGTTAAAACTGAAATATACGCTTTTATAGTATTGCTTTATCTTTAAAATACTTTAATCCCATAAGCGCTTCTTTAGCACAAACATCTAAAAATAAATACTCAACAAATCACATTTTATGTAAGCTTGATCCTGCCTTCATAAAAATAACAATCCGGTCAAATTTTCAATAAATAGATATACAGATACACAAACGATTATACTAAAAATTCCACTTAATCTGAACTTAACTTCGCAATCCCTCTACCTACTCCCACTAGTAACCCCTAAATCAAAAATTCAGTTCCATCACCATCAG